AGACGTTCATCATGAGACATAATAAAAATGTTCATAGCTCCATAGCTTTTAAAAGCCATAAGCTGAAAACCCAAATGTTTATCAAGAACAAAAATGGATAATGAAATGTGGCATATCTATATAATAATATACAGCAATGAAAATGAATAAACTACAGCTACTAACAGAGGTGAACTTCAAAGATGGTATTAAGCAAAAGCAACGGGTCACAAAAGAAGACATTTGGTATAATTCCATTTCTATGAAATACAAAAAGAGGACAAGGCAGACTGTATACATTCAGAAGAGGTCAAACTATTAAGAATGGTAAACAAATGACTATTAGGAAAGTCAGAATAATGGTAACAGATGGAAGAGACTTTAATTGGGGGCGCTGGCAATGTTCTACATCATCTTTGGAGTAATTAAGGTTATTTCTTTAAATATTAGAGTAACACATATATGTATTTTTTCTCACAATAAAGCCAATTTGGTAAGGGGCAATTTGTTCATACTTTAAAATTTTTGAGTATTTATAATATTTAAGAATTATCTAGTATATTAGTCTAACAGTTCAGCCTTCTAAATCCAATCTAAAAATGTACAAATGAGTAATCAACTTGGACTTGTACTAATGATTTTAAAGTAGAAACCTTACTGTTATCTGAGGCATTGAAATAACCAAGATAATCCAAGATTCTACATATTAAGACTAATTTGTTATATTTGTAAAAGATATTTATGTACTTGAAAAGGTTTTAAATCAGGGAACAGAGGTGCTTCAAATAGAAACTGAATATACTGGATATAGATATGCAGTTTTAAATGTTTTTAAAATTCTACTAACGTTGTAAATGTGACTACACATTATCGAAAAACCCCTTACTTCTAAGTATTTGCTGAAATTTGCTAAACTCAGCAAAAAAAAAAAAAATCCCAAGTTTGACCTTAAAAACTTAAGAAAGAACTAACTCTTTGGGTTTATATCCTTAAGAAATCATCTTTTTAGAGCAAACTTCTAAGTACTATTTTTCTACCAATTTGTTCAGAAGACACAAAACAATTCACGGTTAATGCTATCTCTTTTTCACATGATATAAAAGCAAACAAAGAAACCTATGCCAAAAGAGTTCTTTTTTAAATTCCCACATAACACCAATTTATATGCCAGAAGATTCTGAGGGTTAATTTTAATTAAAATTTGTCTAGGATTATACTCAAAAACACAAACCACTTGACAGTTGGTATGGTGACATACGCTACTTTCAAAGTAGTTATTGTTTACTTTTTTTAGGGGTAGGTGGGGGTCACAGAGCAATTAAATGCTATGGAGCTCCCAGAAAAATGCATATAGACACACCACACAATACAATAGTCAAAGATCTCCTGAAAACAACACTTAAACCTCTCCATTGTACTGGTGGCCAATTATGAAACCAGAGCTTATTTTGGACATATCATCCAGCAAAATATAACTGTATGTATATTATATTTATTCATTTAAAATCAGAAAGGTAATTTTTTTAAGAAGAAAAGTTCATATATTTTGTTTTCATTTATCACTTAAAAATGACCACAATACTACTTTATACATACTAAATAAGCAAAGTTTTGTTTTGTTTAGAAGAATACACCGGCAAGGATGAGACAAACTTTATACCAGTCTCATACATTGAAATTAGCAGAATACAGTTATATAACCTTTCTGAATAATAATTTGGAAATGTATACATAAAGCCTCAACTGTATGAGGAATATTCAACTCTGCATCTACTAACTCTACTAAGAAAATAATTTTAAATGTGTACAATTTACTGCAAGGATGATCATCGAAAGCATTCTTTTTTTTTTTTTTTTTTTTTTTGAGACTGAGTCTCACTCTGTTGCCCAGGCTAGAGTGTAATGGCATGATCTCAGCTCACTGCAACCTCCGCCTTCCAGGTTCAAGAGATTCTGCTGCCTCAGCCTCCCGAGTAGCTGGGATTACAGGTGGCCACCACCATGCCCAGTTAATTTTTGTATTTTTAGTAGAGAAAGGGTTTCATCACGTTGGTCAGGCTGGTCTTGAACTCCTGACTACAGGCGTGAGCCACTGCACTGATTACAGGCATGAGCCACTGCGCTGGCCAACAAAAGCATTCCTTATGATGTCCAATCCCGGAGCCAATATAAAATGAGCAACGATGGAGGAGTAAATGTCCAGGATAATAGAAAACTATAAAAAATGTAAGTATATTTAAGATGAATATTTAGTGGCATGAAAATGCTGATGGATCTACTGCTAAAAGAATAAAGGGTCAATTCCTGCATAGCAAGTTGTTGTTCTTTTTTTTTTAAAGAAAAAAATCTACAAACAGAAAAACAAGACCAGAGGGGCATATGATACATTTTTAATGTGGAGAATTCTATGTATTTTTTTATTTTTATCTAAAATTTTAACAAGAAATAAATCAATAATTTATTAGATTATATGAACTCTTTATTCACCTTGACTTTTGGCCTAATCTAAGAATCATTCAGTATGAGATATCAATTCTGTAAAATTTATTTATTATTACAGTTGTCTAAACTATTAAAGGTATTATTCAACACTTTGTGATAAGAAAAGCCAAGGTTAGAGTAAAGGTATGAGCTACTGATGAAAGATCTATAATCGAACATGGCTGGCCCTCGAAATCAGAAAAGAAGTTCCCATTGTTGAAACAAATATGATAGCTAACTTCTGCTGTGGGGATGAAAAATGATTCTAGTCTGTCATTTGAAATATCACAGATGGGGATTGACTTTTGTTATATTCAAGCATTAACATAAATTATGTGGCATTTAAAGGTTAGACTACAGTGCAGCACCCAAACTTAAAATTAATGATAAAACAAGATACGTTATAATGCATTCTGATCATAATTATATTGAAACAGTAAGACAGATAAGAGAAAGAAATCAAGCTGTTTAAAAGTAGGTATCTTTGAATGATGCTATCACAGGTGATTTTCCTACTTTTTATTTTTTGTTTTCTAATATTTTTTAAATGGGCATAGATTACATTTTTTTTTAAAGAGACAGGGTATCTCTCTGTTGCCCCATTGTGGAGGGCAGGGGCCTTGTTACAGCTCGCTGTGTTCAACTTGAACTCCTGGGCTCAAGCAACTGTCCCACCTCAGCCTCCTGAGTAGCTGGGACTGCTGGTGCACACCACCATGCCTTAAAAAAATTTTCTTTTTCTTTCATAGAGATGGGGTCTTGCTATGTTGCCCAAGCTGGTCTCAAACTCCTGGGCTGAAGTAAACCTTCTATCTCAGCCTCCAAAGGTGCTGGGATTACAGGCATGAGCTAATGTGCCTACCCTATGGCCTTAGTGAGAAACACAGAGAACCCCTCTGTGTTCTAATTGGACAGTCGTTGAGAAGTTGTGTACATTCTTTAAAAAAGTCTATTAAATTACTACTGAAAAGCCATTATCTCCCCAACCCATAATTAAATACAAGTGAAATCTAAAATACAGATATGAGTAATGCCACAGTTCTAATATATTCTAAAGAAGTATAGTAGAAAATAATATATAGAAGTTAATTTTTTTGTCTTAAAGCCATTAAATAAATCAACACTTCGGAATGGATTTTTTTTTAAAGCCCTAATTTAATATTAGAAGCTCTCATATCTCAGTCAATGGTAAAAGAATTAAAAGAAAATTAGTCAATACTGAATGATAATCAGGCCATACGCTGACATGAAAATCTTATCATGTAATTTGAGACAATATTTTAACTTTTCTTCTGGAGGGAACCAAGTGAAAATATATTAACCTTCTAGTTGCCAAATAAAAGATGAATTTTGAACGCTTCCTAAGAATTCTTTAAAATTCTTTAAAATTTGTAATCTAAATATCTGTATTTTTCATAGGAAAAATGCTCTTTGCTTCATTTACATTTCAGGAGTCACTCTAGTCTACTGTTTCTGAAGTGAAATATTCTATTCTGATGACTAAATTCTTTATATATCTAGAAGGAGAAATAGTTGTTTAAATATAATTCAACATATTTAAAAATTAAATGTAGTTCTGATTCCAAAACAGTAGTCAAACTAATTCTTCTACTTGTATTCACACACGGTGAAATTTGGCCTGACAAGACAAAATCATAGACATGTAAAAATTAGGGGGCCAGGTGTGGTGGCTCGTGCCTGTAATTTCAGCACTTTGGGAGGCTAAGGCAAGAAGATCTCTTGAGCCCAGGAGTTAGAGTGCAGCCTGGACAACATGGCAAAAACTAGCCGAAAGTGATGACATGTGCTTTTAATTCCAGCTACTCGGGAGGCTTAAGTGGGAGGACCACTTGAGAGGTTGAGTTTGCATGAGCCATGAGTTTGGCTCATGAGCATGAGTTTGTTGAGCCAGATCACACTATTACACTCCAGCCTAGGTGACAGAGGGAAACTCTCTTAAAAAAAAAAAAAAAAAGAATTAGAGTGAAAAGGGGCTCTAGGGATTACTAGCCTTCCCACCAAGATTCCTGTTAGGATTTTTTTTTTTTTTTACTTCTGGACTCTACTTGCTATGTAGTATGCCTTCCAATTTAAAAATATATATTCAAAGACATATAACTATCAATGAAACTTGCTCAATAAAAGATAACCAATATATACAGACTTGGTGTATTTTCAGTCAAAAGTAAAGAAATGTGATATTTGAGTTAGTTTTGTCACTATAGACAAATACAAAGTTTTTATCACGCCTTTTGTAAAACTGAAAATAACTTGTAAGTACTTTTCCCTTATCTATTAACCAAAGGATCAGGAGACCCTTGGTTGGAAATGATCCATCTAGTCCAACCTTCTAATTTTGCATATAAGATGGATCTGAATTTAGAGGTTTGATTAATTGTGAAAGGGGGAAAAATGATCTTTCTCACATACATTATATTCACAAGTCACCGGTAAGTATCAACAATTTAAATCCAATGAAACACAACCTGAAGCAAACTACTGCTACTAATGATAAAAATAAGAAATGTTTCACATTTTAATTTTCTTTAAACCTTTTTTTATTTAGAGATTTTTCTGGTAAGGAGATATACCATAGGAAAGCAATTTCACTGGCAGTGAGGTATGTATATACTCTACCAAAATACTCCTTATTTTAACTGTTTTTAGCTTTATTTACATACGAAGCAAAGAATCAATGCATATCCTTGGTTCAACTATAGCATTAGCCATACTACATGAAATAAAATGGTGCTTGCATACAAAAATTGTTGTTTGTAAAGGAATCTAATTTCAGATTAAAAGAACTAATTTGTTTTTGGAAAAAAATTCTAAAAAGAATCACAATTTATCATGACCAAGACACCTGCACCGTATTTTCCATTCCTCACAGCACATTTATTTCAGTAATTCTGTTATGTCGGTTCTTAGCATGAGCATAGTGTTACACGATTTTCGTACATATAATCACATCCAAAACAAGTTCTAAAATTTAAATTGTAAACATTCTCATCATATGTAGAAATATTTTAATTGGTGTATTAAGTTTTGCTAACTGATCAAATTTGGAAGATAATATAAATGAGAACGTCTATTCTAAACTGTGTAGTGAGCATTGTTTATTAATTACATTTCTACAATGTTAAATAAAGTAAGAGGCAAACCTGTCCTGTAAGCATGTCAAATTTTAGGTAAAACATTAAAAAGAAACAAATCTGTTAACAAAAGAATGTCTTGCAATAAAGAACATTAGATTTTTTAAATCTATTATGATACAAAAATGTAAAGGGTAAATAGCATCTTTGTTGACAAAGTAGGAGGTAGCATGGATGCACCACTTTATTGTCTGAGAAATGCAACTGGAGTAAAGAATATTTCCTTACCACAAATAATTTCCAGAACTATATACATATTTCTTTTAGAAATACTTGTTTAAACAAATCTCCCTCCACTTTTTAGTATAAAAAAACCGTTTCATGTGATTTAAAAAAAAACACTTACACATCTAGATAGAATAGTACTCTGCCCTATTTGAGTGAACAGTCTCAAACTATGAAGTACATGATGTTTAATGCCCTAATTTGAGTAAATTTAGTCATCGGTTCTTGGTATTATACAAAACACTAAATACATACAAACAAAATATAATATCTTATTTTTCTATGCAAGTCTTGTGGGGAATAAACAGAGCCTTGATCTGGTAACACTGCAAAAAACATAATTTTCCAGTAAGTCTGTCTCTAAGTATCCATGTGCAACAGTTTATTAATGGCTCCTTACATGTACTGCTCTTTTCTTGAGTGAACACAGTTAACCAACAAAACTTCGTAAACCTTAAAAACACATCTTCCACCCTATATAAAATATAGACTACTTACTGTTTTAAGTATTGGATTTGCTCTGATGTCACTGTAATTCACTTTCCCCATTTTTCTGCTTTAGTATTTATAAACATAATTTAATGTGGCTTAAAAAAAAAAAGAAAGTCAAATTTACATCCAATTCAAATTTGCTATTTAAAAGGTTTCCTGGTTCTATGAAGCTGCTTCAGCCATTAGTAGAGAAAATGAAGTTTCTGTAATGGAGGCAGGCTTTTTAAGTAGTGATGTGACTTCCACCATGCCAGCTCCAGTCCTTGGAAGATTAGCGTTTACAATATGTCGTTGTAAGTGCTTAATCCAGTCTTCCTGAACAGACAAGGGTCCTCGAAAGACTAGGCCACAAAACCTATAGAAATATAACAATTCTCTTAACATGACCAATTCTCTTTCTTTAAAACCAATTCACATAAAATCCATAAACATAAGGAATAAACTTTCATAATATTTTAAAGATAGCATGTGATAAAGTTTCTAAATAAAGTCAAATGATTTAATAAAACATCCAAACTCCCAATTCATATGTTTATTAACAGCTATAATAAACTCTAGTAATATTTGTATAGGTAGAACATTATTATTAGGGTAAAATTAACAGTCTTAACACCTATACATCTTAATTCACTTGAAACAACAATTACTCTAAAATGTGCCGTTGTTTAGAAAAGACCATTCCCCAATTTATCATTCTTTAAATTGCATTGTGTCTATGTTTGTTCATGTGTGTTGTGTGTGAGTATGAGTATGGAAGAAGGCATGAGCATGAGGGAAGAGAAAATGTGTTCCCAATAAGCGAGAACTCAAGAAAGCAAAAATTCAAACCAAATAAAATTAAACCATTCAATCCAAGTAATTGAAACATAAGAAAAGCTACTCTTTCATTTTTATTTTTTTGAGAGAGAGCATTGCTCTGTCACTCAGGCCAGAATGCAGTAGCACGATCTCGACTCACTGCCACCTCTGCCTCCCGGGCTCAAGGGATTCTCCTGCCTCTGACTCCTGAGTAGCTGGGATTTCAGGCACCTGTCACAACGCCTGGATAATTTTTGTTTTTTTAGTAGAAATGAGGTTTCACCATGTTGGCCAGGCTGGTCTTGAACTCCTGGCCTCAAGTGATCCATGCATCTTGGCCACCCAAAGTGCTGGGATTACAGGCATGAGCCACCATGCCTGGCCCAAAAGGTACTTTAATAAGTTACAGTATAATAGATTTACATCACTATTGGCTAATGTAAAAAACTTGACTTACTAGTTGTTGAAGTACAGGATACTGTAAGCTGAATTAAGATTTTAAGCCTATCTCCAGAAGTTCACTTATAACTTGGTTGTTGAGAATGCACACTCTGCTACAAATTAAAAATCTCAAATGAAATAGCTAATATGTCTCAAGCAAAATATGAAGAAACTGATCAGATTAGGCAATATAGGCATATACCTGCATCGGAGAATGTAAACCTCGTCAGCACCATGAGGTAATGTTAGCATTTTCTTCTTGCTTCCAGATCTTGACCTTGATTTCTTTTGCTTACAATCTAAGGCTAAAAAAGGGGAGAGAAAAACTTAACATTTCTTATATATTTCAAAATATACATATATACATATTTTTCTAGAAAGGTCTGACAGACCATGTAATCAGTTTGAAAAAGTCTGCATTCATTTCCCTATTCCCTGAAGCATGCACTCAACTTGCTGATTCTGTAATAGCAGTAATATTATCTGCATCTATTCTTCCTGTACTGCCTTTTGAAATAACGTTTTACCACACCAAACTAGAACTGAGAAAATGTAACTAAGTAACTTGAAACTACTAAATTGGCCAATTATTAAATAATGGTAATCTTTAGTCTCATAATCATACATAATTTTAACATCTGGTTAAATCTTATTTCCAGAAAAATAGAACCTTTTATTTGAGATCGTTAAATTAAGTTTGTATTTCATTATTGCTCCATTAAGTAGGTCTCATATACTTGGAAAAGTTAGAAGGGAACATGGACAATATAACTAAGAGTTCAATGAAAAATCAATTTTCACAGTGATTCACCAAGAATTCTATAAATAGCTCTTAAAATTGTATGCTGGCCCTACATTTGAAAGGACAAAAAAAGCTCAACTTTCATTTTTGAACTTAACTTGTATTGCATACAATCATCAATCATGCAATCATGTAAGTTTTATTTACTACAAAATAAATATAAATCCATATTATCTCACGTAAGTTTACAATTGGATCTATGTTTAATGCTAACTATTCTTTACATATTTTTCATTTTACATTTTTCCAATAGCTTATTTTAAAATGTGATTTGAAAAGGTAAAAAAATTATATAAAAAGAGACCAAAATTTGATGTTAACTGTTCTTGAAATTTTTCCATTATTTGACTTTTCCTTTATTTATTCTAAAACAATCTGATTTAATAAAGGAAAAAAAGATTTTTTATAGGTAGAAATAGCACACAACATTTTATAGGTCTTTGAATACAGCTATGCCATTACTTTGGACAAAGGGATGATAGCAATCCAGGGTGCTGCTGGTCAATTAGCAGGAAGAGAAGGTAAGAATATATCTGTAGGGATTCAAGGTGGGAGGGATACAAATGTAACAGAAGAGTTACCCAAATGGCTTTTCTTCCATTATCCTGCCATGTGAAAAATTCCCTGGAAAAATTCTAAGTAAGAGAGAAGGAGCTGACTATTCAATGACTGTGAAATGAATTGTTCAAAGTCCAGATTCCAAAAGAATAGATGCTACTATTACAAAACCAATAAACATAGTTCCTTACAGCAGTCAAATGGCAATGCTAACAGAAATGCCACGTAAAAAATTCAAAACCACAAGAAACCTAAATCTCACTGAAGCCACTGGTTTTAGCTTCCTGTCATCACCTATTCAAAAGTCAAATCCAGGACACACAGTCTTTTTCTGTTTATCCTCAGAAGAAGAGTCTAATAAGTAAAGAACTACTAGAAGTCAAGTTAGGTATTAAAGAATGGGTAGTTCAAAATTAAGCAACCAAACTCTAGAATAGAAAAATCTTATAAGGATCTCATTAGTTATCTCAGTCAAGAGCCGGAACTCAACAAATACTTCCGGAAGAAAAGTAAAGCAAAACCCAGTATTAACCATTGATATTTAGACAGCCTATGAATGAAAATGTTTTACTCCTATTTAATACAGGTAATGTTCCTGTACAACATTGTGCATCATTTGTTTAAATATGTTGCTGCAGTCACGTACTTCATTATCCTAGATATAAATCACTGACCAGTCCAGCTTATCTACAGAAACTAGGTTATTCATAACAGCTACAGAGTAAAATATCATATACTTTGTAACCAGTAGGAAATCTTTTTGCTAGTCACTTTGGTGAGCAATCTGAATTTAAGTGGGTTATGAGTGATTCATATACTGGAAGTAGAGTTCAGGGAACTCAAAGAGTAAGTGCTACTAGATGTCAGCTATTCTTTCCATCTGTAAAGATGGATCCTTGTTAGGCAGAACAGAGCAAGCATTTGGTGTATCATAAGATTACAGGTAGAATCTTACTTTGATGAGCTTGCTGGTTGTCAAAATTGCCACACTGTATTCAAACTCCTTTTAAAATGCAAATAAATTACGGTAGGATACAAATAGAATACATTATAACAATCCTTAAAAAATTTGTTCACAGAATGTTAATGTTAGGGGTGTAAAGTAAATTGAGGAAGCAGGGGAGAAGACGGTAGGGAAATACGCAAAAGAACATTTTATCAGTTACAAAGCATTTAAAGTTAAATTTACATATTGTGGTATTTTAAAAATGGGACTGGGCATGTTTATTCTGAAAAACAGAAATATTTTTGGCATTTTTTTTAATAGGGAAAAAATTATTTTATGGCTTTTGATGCTTTGTGGACTGTGGAAACTCTTAAGTTTAGGCTGTTTTATGAATGAGCAGATCTAAATTTGAAATGAGAATGCCATCGTTTCTGTAGCAATGAGTATGTGAAGGTATTACAACCTGAGAAAGCAGGACAACTCTGCCACATATGACTGACTGGTCATTTCTAGAACCCAGGGCTCCAAGTCAAGGTTACAGAATCTCATGCACTGAGAATCCCTACAAACTTATCCATAAATTTAAAACATTAAAAATCTGGGATCTTTGACAACTGAAATCTAAATGCCTCAGTGTTTTCATATCTTCATCATCAATTCTAAATTTCTTATCTCCTGAAATGTTATCTTTTTGAGCAGGTGAAACATGAACATATTTTACAACAGTTTTTTGTAATGCCAACATCCAACTCCACTCCTCTGATACTGCCCATACCTTGGGAAAATCTGTTTAAAACTGATTTAACATATTAATGCTACACAATAAGGAGACATCTATACAGCATCCTCTACATAAAAAGATAATTTACACAGAAAATTTCAGTGAATGAAAAGGATGAGGTACAAACATGTCTGTTATGCCAATATTCTCACTTAAGAGATTTTATTGTATCTAGAGGGAAAAGCAGCTTTGTTCTGGACTGTACCAGGAGCTGCTAGAACATTAAATACAGATCACTGACACATTCAGATTTAGTATAATGCAGCTCATCAGTATCATTAACAGCCAAAGCTTTAACAAAGTTGTTTATATGAATAATCTGCCAAATAAATTACTTTGTTACGCAAAGCCTTTTTTTGTAACAGGATTTCATTTGCACTTGCTCGTGACCAAAAACTCTCAAGAAGCTAAAAACAAAAACCTCCCACACCCTGTTCTCTTTCCAAAGTATTTTAAATCTAACATTGTTTATATACTTTAAACATATTTTTAAAAATTTAAAAAGTATTAACTTTCTTCTCTAGTATAAGCTTCTTTAGAAAGAAACAAATTCAGTCATCCAAACCATCCTAAGATTACTATTCAGGGGGCAGAAACTGTTTAAGTGATTAATTTCAAACAAAGACTGTCAAAAATCTTTCAAGTTACCTGATTTATAAAAGATCGAAATTGCTCCTAAGAATATTTTACTTTCGAGGAGAATAAATTGAGCTGGAAGGCCAAATGAGAAAAAAATTATACCTTTCAGTAAGATATCTGTCTTGATCAAATACAAATATGAAAGAGAAAACACAATAAACTTCAGTCTTCAAAAAGAACACCGTACTGCTATGCTATCAATACGACGACCAATGATTATGACAACACCAGGCCAAAACACAAAACCAGATTGGTGCAAAGCAAATAAATAATACAACACACAAAATTCAAGTCTGTTTTCCGAGCCATTAGCTTTATACAAAGAAGATTAAGAATTTACTTTTGACTTTGACATTATTAAATAAAATATTTTGCTCTTTTTCACGTTTCTGCCCATATATACAATAACTGCTTCAATGAGTTTCATTTTATTTTCTTTCACTACATAAATGACCCGAGAATGATAATCTATTTCATAAAAACAGCTGGAACTTCTGTAATAAAGCACACCATGACTAAATTAACATTTGCCACCAAAATATTTTTATTTGTAACCACTCTCCCCTGTTCAATGATTTAAAAGCCTTGTTTCATCTGTTTCTTTTCTAATTGGTTGCTGGTGTCTCTAAGACAAAGTGAAACAGCTGGGTTATCTATACCCAAAGTTAAGAGGCATATAAAATTTCTTCTCTAAGTAGTTTGCCTAAGCTTGGTGGACAATATTAGCTACGAGCTCATTCAGGACTACAGTACGAATAAATATGACACAAACAGGTAAATAATCATTCCACAACCTTCAAAAGCTGGTGCTGGAGGTCATGGTGGCAGTGGTGAGGTAAGAAGAGGATGCATATGTGCCAAGGGGTACACAAGTGTAAGACAGAAAAATAAACTCAATTCTTTTTTTTAATCTTTATTTTAGGTTCAAGGGTACATGTGCAGGTTTGTTATATAGGTAAATTGTATGTCACGGGGGTTAGTATACAGACTATTTCATCACCCAGGTAATAAGCATACTACCTGATAGGTAGTTTTTATACTATCTCCCTCCTCCTACCCTCCACCCTCAAGGTAGGCCCCAGTGTCTGTTGCTCCCTTCTTTGTGTCCATGGCTCCCTTCTTTGTTTCCATGTGTTCTTGTTGCTTCATTCCCACTTGTAAGTGAGAACATTCAGTATTGGTTTTCTGTTCCTGTGTTAGTAATAAACTCAGATTCAAAAGTGGGCAAAGGATATGAACAGATACTTTACGAAAGAAGACATATATGAGGCCAACAATCATATGAAAAAATGCTCATCGTCACTGGTCATCAGAGAGATGCAAATCAAAACCACACTGAGATACCATCTCACGCCAGTTAGAATGGCGATCATTAAAAAATCTGGAGACAACAGATGCTGGAGAGGATGTGGAGAAAAAGGAACACTTTTACACTGTTGGTGGGAGTGTAAATTAGTTCAACCATTGTGGAAGACAGAGTGGCGATTCCTCAAGGCCTTAGAAATAGAAATTCCATATGACCCAGCAATCCCATTACTGGGTATATATCCAAAAGACTATAAATCGTTCTACTATAAGG